GGTCATGTTTTGATGGTGTCCCGGTCGTGTTGTGACGGTGTCCCGGTCATGTTTTGATGGTGTCCCGGTCCTGTTGCGATGGTATGGTGGTCATGTTTTGGCGGTGTGCCGGTTATGTTTTGATGGTGTCCGATCATGTGACGGTGTCCCGGTCATGTTGTGATGGTGTCCTGGTCATCTTGTGATGGTTTTCCCGTCATGTCATGTTGGTGTCCCGGTCACCTTGTGATGGTGTCCCGGTTATGTTGTGATGGTGTCCCAATCATGTGACGGTGTCTCAGTCATGTTTTGATGGTGCCCTGGTCATGTTGTGATAGTGTCCGGGTCATGTTGTGATGGTGTCCCCGTCATGTCATGCTGGTGTCCCGGTCACCTTGTGATGGTGTCCCGGTTATGTTGTGATGGTGTCCCAATCATGTTGTGACGGTGTCTCGGTCATGTTTTGATGGTGCCCTGGTCATTTTGTGATGGTGTCCCGGTTATGTGATGATGGTGTCCAAGGAAGAGATGGTCGATGTGTTGAAAACAACAGCTGTTTCCAGATTTTTCTTTTTGTCCCGGTTTGTATCTTGCTATTGGGGTCTCCAGCTGGGCTAATTTCGTTTTCAACATCATTTCCTTATGTGAGGTATGGTCCGGCTGGACCCGATCGGGCATGGAAGTCTTCCAAGCGCCTGCCTTTGGTGCGAGCGGGCACGGACAAATACGAGGTGCAGTTTTGTATGGCACACAAGCACAACTTGGAATCATGATCCAATGACTACAGCTGTCACCATCGGCAGTCCTTTTTTCAGGTCTCCTTCAACATTCCTGCAGCGGAGGTGGACACCTACATCATGTTTGTCACTTGCCCAGATCTGACAAGTCGATACAACTCTGATCTGTTGAATGTTCCGTGCCCCCCAAAGAGCTGCGACCAAAGGTCCTACATGATGGAGCTGCAAACCGTTGGATCAAACATGGACCTCATGACTTCGAATTCGAGCTCCCAAGGCATCAGGCCAGGCCGTGTGAGGGTAAAGACACATGAAGAAAACCTGGACCGCCAGAGAAGGTATGATAGGATGATGGTTGATGGTCAAAACAAAGATAAATATGTCATCCCGCTGCATGTCGAAGTCCTTTTTTCCGATCCATGAGGAATGGGACAGAGCGAAAAGGGAGGCTGAAGCTCGTAGCGAAGAAGAAGCAAAACAAGCGCTTGCTGGAAAGGACCAATTCATCGAGGCGCAGCATTACAGTCGAGCTATGCGATTGTACCGCAGCGCCTGCCTTACACAGTTTCAGGGCAGCCGCCAAAGAGAAGCTCGAGCGGACATCTCATTTGTATCTTTCCCTCTTCAAGGCCCGAGTCAAGCAAAATACTTAATTCTCCACATCACTTTTGTCCTGATCGGGCCACAACCGGATGAAAAATTGCACATGGTTGGAAAATCCTGAGCAAGTCGAAGATGCAGGTGACTTTGGCATCATGGATGTATCTTGCATGAGCCATGGAGACAAGGCAAAGGCAGGCCCTATGTTCACATTTGCATTTTGGCGAAACCGATCGAACGGGAATGTGCAATTTTTGAGGGAGCTGCTTTTTTTTAAGCATTGGGTTTCATTCTTGACAGGTGGAAATTCGGGGTTGGCTCCATCCTCGTCTGGGTGAATGCTTGATGCACTTTGGTGTTTTCGAGAGGCCCCAGTCTCGTCAGTGGACGTCAGTGTCTTGTCTGCAGCTGAAATTGGACTCGGATTCGGTAGTTTCAGGCTTGAGCAGGTTGAGACAGGCCGGGTGAGGACACTCAACCTTTTTGAAGCAACATCAAGGCAACATTAAGGACCCGATAGCTTTCTGAGAGTTTTGGAGCAGGTGGAGGGTGAAGGGTGAAAAGCTGTACAAGGAATTTGTCCAGAGCTTGCATTCTTGTGAGGCAACTCATATCAAGTGCGTCGACTGGCCTGCAGATCTGACAAAGGTGGATGACAAGGCATCTTCTGGGCTCATTTTGTGAAGGACATTCGGACGATTTGGGCTCACGGAGCTGAGGCCTGCCGCATGAAGTTGCAGAAACACAGTGAAAAAGGCGTCTATGGGATAGATTTGATGGTGACGGCGCACACCGAGATGGATGGATCTGAGACGCTGGTTCAGCCAGACATTGGAGGCACCTTAGCTGTGGAACAAAACGAATGTTGATATTGACCCGGTGTCGACCCAGGTCTGGGCTTTGTGCTGAAGACCATGCATGGTGATACATGGATAAAGCCCACTGTTGCCCGCATGCATTGGATTGTCCGCATGCGAACACCGCTTTGTATTCTTCAATGCTATGTTCTTTAGACCTTTTACTTTAGACCTTCCTTGCTCTCTACTGTTATGTTTTAAAGACTATTGGCTTTGGCATGCTATTACTGCTGGAGTTGACGTGGTGCCCAGGATGGCGGTGATGCAACTGTTCGTTTTTCCAGCAAGGGTCGCTGGAAAGGACCTTGGGCACAGGCACAGGACCCAGGTCGCCAGTGCATTTAGATTCAATCATGCAGTGCTAAGAGAGTGCAAACCACAGTCGAAAACATGAGGTGGCAGATAAGATTGTGGAGCAGGAAACCACCTGGAGCCAAATGTCGCTGAAGAGGAGCAACGAACAGATTCGAGGTTGTTCGGCAACAGGGGATGGACTCATAGATTGATACTCATAGCATATCCACTGTGTGCTGGCTTGACCTCAAACAACTGCCACGCGACGATGCAGCAACGGTTACAATACGCATATATTTGATGTTATTTGATCACAACGAACACAAAGAAGCCAAAGAGAGCAGTGTCACGGCGTTGTGGAAAGGAGATATGAGAACTGCTTGGACTTCTTGGATCAATGGGAAAAGAGCTCACAGGGCTTGCACATGCGTCGACTGGCTTCCTGGACAACACTTGTCCAGGTGGATTCAAGCAAGGCCTGCAAATCATGTCATGACCCGAAAGCTGTTCAGGTTGGATCACAAGTGATTTGTTTGAAAGGGGCCAACTTCAACGAAATGAGTGTCACCAACGGTCTGAAGATCTTTTAACCAACGTAGCAGCCCAAAGATCATGTTCGTTGGAACACAGAAGATCAACAGCCAAGTTCTTGGGTCTTCAAGTTCATCATTGCATCATGTTGATCCCAATTCCATGTTGAAGTCTTAGCTGAGCCTTTTTGGGAAGTTGCCGTCCCAGAATGTCCCAGACATGTCCAGAACTGTTGCTTCAGACCGTCCAGGCTGTGTGGTCCAGAATGCCGTCCATGCCTCTCATTGGAATGTCTGGTGAAGAAGAGACACTGGGCAAATCAGAGACCTTTTTTCATATTCTGTCCATGTTTGCAGATAGGGTTAACAGCGGAGCATTGTCCTTGACATATCAGAGTTGCCAGATGTTGCAGAGTGCGTGCAAGTTCAGGAAATGTTCACATTGTGTGGGTTTGTAGTTGCAAAAGTAGCATTTGTTCAGTGTGTGTGGATTAATCCCCGTTTGCCTACCAATGTTGAAAGACAAAGTTGCGAAAGTGGCAAAAAGATCAAGACAGAACATGTTTACGCAATGCGGCCCGCGACAGTAAGAATCGCGGAAGCGGGGGGAAAGCTTTCGTGAACGACCTAGCTACACTGCGACTAGGTTTTCGACACAGCTCAACAGCATAGTTTTGTTTAGATTTGTATTTCACGGACATGCCTGTGATGCAAGGAACAATGAAGAATTCTGGAGTTGGATCTTCGTGTGGCAGCGCTTTTCCTTTCAGCAACTCCTGACGTGGGAGCGAAACACGTGTACACAGCCGCGAATGCTCGCTGGAACGACGAATCAAATTACACAACGTTTGGAGACTCGGACGAACATGAGTGAAGAGTAACAAGGGCATTACTACTAGTAACTAGTAGCAAGAAGCTACCAGTAGCTCCTGGCATATTACTAGGAACAAGAAGCTACTAGTAACAAGGGCATTAGAACGTTTGACTCGGAAATGCGCTGGAAGCCACTTGACCGGGTGGCTTTGGGGCATCTAGATCAAGAAAACATCAAAAAAAGATAATCAAAAAAACATATTATCGAAAAACATATTCCTGGATAGGCCTCTTCTGCTGCTCTCCTGGCCCTGTGGTCTGCGGGTCCTCTGGTCCTTTAGTCCCTTGGTCCTCTGGTCCACAGGCCCTTTGGCCCCCTGGTCCTTTGGTCCTGGTCCGGTCCCGTGGTCTCCTGGTCCTTTGCCCTCCTGGTTCTTTGGTCTGCGGGTTTCCTATGGTTTTTCTCCTTGTTCTTTCACTGATGCTTTTTGATGTCTTTGGTCCTTTCTCTTGTAGCTTATTGGCCGCAGTTTTCCTGCAAACGTACAATGCTTTTGGCTTCGGCTGCCTTAGGTCCTTTTGTGCACTTTTAGATGCCCTTCACTGAAAGGACGATAGGGTACATAGTTTCTAGTGATTTCTTCTGTGGTGCTGAGTGGTGCTGTGTTTTAACGTTTGGTTCGCTATCACCCCGACACCCCACTACGAGTCTCACCCACAGATACCACAACTACTATCTTCTTTGCGTTGGCGATGCCACAAAGGTGGGTGATAAGGCCCACCTTCGCTTGTGCCAGCGCCACAAAGGTGACGCCCAATCAAACCAATCAAGAAACCAAGCAGCCCAGCGCTGTCTATACTTGATTTGTATTGCGGGGGAGCCCTCCCCCGCACCCCCTTCCGCTTTCTTAATAGTTTGCCACTACCCCTGCCATTACCAGTACCTCCAACACCAGTCCTACCACAGTTACCACAACTACTATCTTCTTTGCGTTGATATTGACAGTGCCACAAAGGTAGATGATAAGGCCTACCTTTGCTTAGCCGTGGCTGCGCCCTCCCCCGCACCCCTCCCACTTTTTTAATATTTCCCACTACCACCACCACCACGACTACTACTACTACTACTACTACTACACCTCCTGCTAGTACCAGTACTACTACTGCTGCTGCTACTGCTAGTACTTCTACTATGCTCAACAGTGGGCTAGAATATTGTTTTGATGTCCGTTTTGTTTTTTGATCCCCGTTGAATAGTTTTTTGATTATATGTTAATTGTTGATCCCTTACCCTGGCTTTGGACCGATTTCACAATTATTTCCACAATATTCCACTTATTTTCGATCAACCCGCTGCTGGTGTGTCTCTTGGTCTTTCTTAAATCTTTGGTTCCCGAGCACTCCAAGAACATCAACCCCAGTCAGGCTTGACGAAAAAGTAGTTGGGGCCTGTAGTAACGCTTTAGCTACTAGTAGCTAGCGTCCTTGCTATTAGTAGCGATGCCCTGGTTACTACTAGGGATGCACTTGCTACTCTTGGGATGGTCTTGAGATGTCTTGAGATCTTTGGGTTTTTCGCCCTACCATAGGGTACTGGAAAGGAAGCATGGCTGATCGCAGGTGTGCTGTGTTAGCTCCTTTCTGATCTACGCCCTTTGTTTACCCCATAGGACTCAGCAAATCAAAGACGCTGTTTTGTGCTCTTAAACCTTTCCTTTCTTTCTTCCTTTCTTTTGACCTTTTAGTGATTCTTGGTTCCTTCCTTTTGTTCTTCCTTTCCTTGCCAGGATGCAATTTTTACACATGCGCCTTGTGGCCCTCCTCTTGTCGAGGCCGAGCTGTGGAAGTCCACAGCCAGCTGCCGCTTGTGGATTCGTTGGACGCTCTCGACCATGGGCCGCGGAGGGTCTGCTGGGCAACAGATCCGAGATGAGATCTTGGTGATTATGCACGCCCATGACATCAAGGAGAGATGGAGTATGACGGAGTTACGTGGCGTTTTGCACTTGAATGATCTTGAATGCACTTCAGTCATGATACACGTCGCAAGGCTTTCTGTGTGCTCGGGTGCCTGCAGCAGGTTTCAATCATGTTTCCTGGTGCAAGGCGACAAATCCGAAAAGCTGGTACGTAAGAACAACGTATGTTGGATGCCCTCCTGCGTGCTGAGTTAGCTGTAGCATGCTGTAGCTGTAGCGGCTAAATGGAAAGGAGATCCATGGGACCTACTATGCCCCTTGGCTGAAGTGGATGCGTTGCTGAGCCATGCTGGAGCCATGCTGTTGCCACTTACTTTGCTAGTGGCCTTTGCTTTGCCAGTGCTTGAGCACGAAGAAGCATGGCCTTGAAAGGAACAGTGGCATCAGAAGTTGCACAACAACACCACACCTGCGGACATCGGCATTTGCAGAGCCATCATTGCTTACCTCAGAAGTGGTGGCGATATGGGCACTTACTGGAAAGTGTTGGGAGAGCATGGCATCACAAAGGCTGGGTGAGTCGGCGGTTTGTGTTGACACTATGCTTTCATCAGAGTTGAAAAAGACCAGATGTGAAAGCTAGCAGCTAGCTGTAAATGTGTCTTTATTCCCCAAACAGTGTGGACACACTATATAGGGGTTCTTATGGTTAAGCACCGGTGTCTAGCGACGTGTCCGGCAAATTCGCTGTTATTTGCAGTGCATTCATACTCTCGAAATCCTCGAAGTGCGTTTCGACTGCGCAGGCTCGCAGAATCTGCTTGTCCGCGGCAGGTGCTTGTTGTGACTGCGCTCTCGTTTGTGGCGCCGCGCGCATTTTCGGACATGGTGGTCACTTTTCGTGGCAGGCGCAAGGGAAACCTCGTGTTTTGGTGTTCTAAAGTCGACTTTTCTTGACAGGCGCACGGGATCGGAGCGATGCAGGTTTCATGGGAGGTGCAGCGGTGCAGCGCTTTGGGCGGCGATCTTCGAGGCGCTCTGATTTCGTGACAGGCGCAGTGAGTCGTGACTTTTGGAATCTTTTGGACATGTGGCTCGTTTGCAGATTTCGTGGCAGGTGCAGTGCTTTGTGACCCTCGAAGTGCAGATTTCGTGGTGCAGATTTCGTGGCAGGCGCAGGAAGTGCAGATTTCGTGGCAGGTATTCAGCGCTTTGTGACCCTCGAAGTGCAGATTTCGTGGCAGGTCCAGCACATTGTGAACCTTGAAGTGCAGATTTCGTTGTGAACCTCAGAGTGCAGATTTCGTGGCAG